AGAACAGGGGGGGGAGCAAGCGGGGCGGGGGGGGGGGGGGTGGCAAGAAGGAGGGTTGTAAAGGGGCTAGGTTTTGGGGAGAGTGTGCGTAGGGAAGTGGCAACTCAGTGTGCTGCTTCACATGTGTACGGACCGGGGTGCTCATAGTTTGTCAAGGTGAAAAAAGGTGGGAGGGGAAGCGCTCCAGCTGAGTTGTACCTGTCTAACGGGTGGGGGTCTGGATGGGTGCGGGGAGATGGTGCACTGGAGTGTGGGACCATTAGAATGGAAACCAGGGGATGGTAAGGCAAAGTGGAAAATGGGTATTGGGGAGAACAAAAAACTGGGGGTGGTGTTTTATGTCTATTGTTACTGATCTCTCACTGCCCCCTTCTCTTGTTTTTTTGTCCTTTTTTCTCTTGTTCTTGCCCACCACCTTTGTTCCCCTCCCACCTTTGTTCATCTTTTTCTGTAAAGGCGACTTAAGTAACTTCTGGGTTGATGTTTAGATGTGTTTAGATATGTGCATTTAATCCATTATCTTCTATCCTATGTACAGATCTGATTGAACAGACTTCCGATGTCGTAGTTCCCACTAACATGAGCACGGCGGCTGACTTACTGCGACAAGGAGCCGGTATGTGAAAACCACTTTAGAAGTCATCTTTGCATTACTAGGTTGTGCTAAAACTAGAACAGATTGAGTGTTTTGGGTAAGATCTCCATCCTGGGTTAATACACTGTAGATCATTACTTACTTATCATGCAATATAGGATTGGTAATACAAGTAATTACTTCTGAATGACGCAGATCACAGCTGTATGTTCTGTCCAACACAAGTATCTCTAAGTAACATTTGTATGCGTCTCTCCCACCAGCTTGCAGCGTCCTGTATCTTGGCTCTGTGGATACTGAGTCTTTGACAGGTCCCCAGGCCATTTCTAAGGCCTCCACTGCCATCTTGACACCACCAAGGTCTAGTGCAACGACTGTCCACTTCAAGGTGTCTGACCAGGGTATCACGCTGACAGACAGCCAGCGCAAGTGAGTATCAGCCAATAGGTGCACTGTGTAGGCAAAGGCAGCCACCAGCTCCTTTACAGAACTGCATTGTGTTTGTGTCTTATAGGCTCTTCTTCAGACGTCATTATCCAGTATCCAGTGTAACATATTGTAGTGCAGATCCGCAGGATCGCAGGTAACGTCATGACTTTTCTACTTCAAGACTATCCGTCTTCATGTCCCTCACTAAAACATTTGCCTGATCACAGACTCTTTTTTTCTGCAGGTGGACCAATCCAGACAGAACGACTTCCAAGTAAGTGTGAACTGGCTGAACTAGAAAATGTCCTCTTGAACGTGTACGGACTTCCCATAGTTACAATCAGGATTTGCATTCTGTACTTTTAGTTTTGGTTGTGTTTTTTATAGTAAATTTTAAATCTTCAGAACTGAGCATATAATAAAACAGACATAAGGATAGATCAGACTCCAGACACTGAGCTGGGACTCATAGACACATCACAGGGCAAGAAATACAACCTGACATGTTTCACACCGTAACTGCACCGTAAGTGCAGATTCATCCATCTGCACTTTTAGCACTATTGGAGGAATCTGCCCACAGTCTGAATAAAAGAAATCTCCTAGTGCAGGGCCCAAAATTTTAAGTCCTAAGCTACTAGCCAGGCCTTAAAAGTTACTCGCCACCAGTTGCCCCACCTAACCCCTATCCTGCCCCGGCCTTAACTCCACCAGGTCAGCGGTGTGACGCAGAGTACAAAGATCAGTAACAACGCACTGTACAGAAGTCAGTGGTGCAATGCAGAATACAGAGGCCAGCTGTGTGACGCGCAGTGCAGAGGTCAGCAATGTGACACGCAGTGCAGAGGTTAGTACACAGTACAAAGGTCAGCGGTCAGTATTTAACGTAGTGCAGAGGTCACAAAGAAAGTACAGGGACTTACAGTTGCTTTGACCTCTTCTTCTTCTGGTGATGGTGGGGGGTGCAGCGAGGTTTCCTACACGTCCAGCAGGCTCTCTCTCCTGCGCAGCAGAAGCCGGCCAACTGCAGTTCGGCAGTCTTCTTCTCCCACCAATGGCAGCTGAGGTGGGCGGAGGAAACTGCTGTGGCCGCTGAGGAGCCCAATCGAAGCGGGCACATACGATGGCAGTCAAGCTTCTTGTTCTCTTCTCCCTGCCGCCGCAGTCTTAAAGTCAGAGCTGTCTTAAAGAGGCCACCCTCCCAGTCCACATCTTTTGGACGTTATCTTAGTGTCCCATCCCTGGTCCCGCCAGCGTCGCACTCCATTGCTGACATTCCACTCGCCCCCATGCAATTTTCACTCGCCAATTGCGAGGGGGCGAGTGGAAACTTTGAGGCCTGTCCTAGTGTATGGGCAGCTTTAGACTCCCCATTGCTTTGTTTACTGTGGATCATGCAGCATCCTGCAGGGAAGTATGACGCCCTCCTTAAGTATTTCATGGCTCTGAAATGTCAGCTGTATTGGGAATTCTGGTGCAAATATCTCCCCACAATCTGCTTCAGTTGGTCAGCAACTATTTAAAGCTAAAATCTGATCTTTGGATGAAGAATAGCGAGTGTCTGTATTATCACATATGTACTATATGTATCTAATGACAGTCATGAGTGATTCTTTTTTTCTATCCGCAGGGTGTTTGGCTTTGTGGCTCGGAAAGCGGGTACCGCTGCTGAGAACGTCTGCCACCTCTTTGCGGAACTGGACCCAGAACAGCCAGCATCAGCTATTGTGAACTTTATCACCAAAGTCATGCTGGGCACACAGAAGAGATAGAAGCAGGGACGTGGCCTCAGATGACTGACCGGTGACATCGCAATGTGCCGTACTCCAGTGGCTGGAATGTTATTGACAATCAAGTGGTGATGATTCCCCTCTACTCCACAAAGGACAGACGATGGGTGTCACTGCATTTATAGGAGATGGGTGTCACTGCATTTATAGGAGATGGGTGTCACTGCATTTATAGGTAATGGATGATGGGTGTCACTGCATTTATAGGCGATAGATGATGGGTGTCACTGCATTTATAGGAAATGGATGATGGGTGTCACTGCATCTAAAATCTGATCTTTGGATGAAGAATAGCGAGTGTCTGTATTATCACATATGTACTATATGTATCTAATGACAGTCATGAGTGATTCTTTTTTTCTATCCGCAGGGTGTTTGGCTTTGTGGCTCGGAAAGCGGGTACCGCTGCTGAGAACGTCTGCCACCTCTTTGCGGAACTGGACCCAGAACAGCCAGCATCAGCTATTGTGAACTTTATCACCAAAGTCATGCTGGGCACACAGAAGAGATAGAAGCAGGGACGTGGCCTCAGATGACTGACCGGTGACATCGCAATGTGCCGTACTCCAGTGGCTGGAATGTTATTGACAATCAAGTGGTGATGATTCCCCTCTACTCCACAAAGGACAGACGATGGGTGTCACTGCATTTATAGGAGATGGGTGTCACTGCATTTATAGGAGATGGGTGTCACTGCATTTATAGGTAATGGATGATGGGTGTCACTGCATTTATAGGCGATAGATGATGGGTGTCACTGCATTTATAGGAAATGGATGATGGGTGTCACTGCATTTATAGGAAATGGATGATGGGTGTCACTGCATTTATAGGAGATACTTAATGTTTGGAGTATTTGGCTGACCTGCAATGCAAACTGATCTCCATTGATAAATACCCTTCACTCTTCCACAGTCCAATAGCTAACAGGCCATGAAACTCCCATCACCACCTCACACATTCATAAAATCTGCAGCTGGCTTCAGCATACTCTATAGTAAGGGTAGGCAACCTCGGCACTCCAGCTGTGATGAAACTATGACTCCCATCATGCATCTGCCTTTGGAAGATATGTCTGGCTGTCACGAGTCTTGCAATGTCTCGTGGTGCTAATAGTTCCACAACAGCTGGAGTGCCACGGGTACCTACCCTTGCTCTATAGGTTAGATAATGCTGTGTACAGGGCGCTTACCCCACGTAACCAATTTCCTTGTACTGGACTTATCGAATACTCAGTCGCTCTGTGATATCTGGGAAGTTACCATACAGAAGGCTGCAGCTCTCAGTGATTGGCAGCAGAATGTTAGGTGGGCGGATCAGAAGAAAGTGGAACTTGGGGGGGATTACTTAGAGATGTCGTGTTTGGAGAAAACAGAAACTTGTCATTTAGAGAAAGCTCTAAGCTCAACCTGGTAATGATAAATGACCGAGATTTGGAGCCGCATTGTAACGTCAGGACATCTTCCGGTCGGGGAACCATTCATAAGCTGAATTTTACCAGAATGAAGACGGAACTTTATATATAATACAAAACCATGTCTAAAGATACGATGGATCTGTATTTGGTTATCTGGTTTCCATCATTTGGCAATTTCTGGGCATTTTTGACTAAATTCAGCCAGATAACTATTGTAGAAAGTGGTGATAAGAGGACTCAGAAGACTCTTTAGAGTTCAGGAACCAGGAAGATGTAACCTTTTTTTATATTGTTGGGTGGTCTGTAGCTCTGCTTATAAAGCAGACCATGCTGCCTCCACTCTTCTAAACAGTATCTACAAAGTGCCAGCCAATAGTGCTTTTTATAAGAAGGTCGGAACAAAGCCGTCATTTTACATAATAACCAATCATTTATCCTCTAGGACAATGAAACAAGGAATCGGATTGGTCAGCAGGGCCGTCATGAAATGTTCCCATTTTCTGTTAAATATCTTTTCAATATTACAGAGCCCCAGGCCGGGCTATGAACAAGGAGATGTAGTCACTGTGTAGAATAATCTCTAGCTTGAAATGAGTGATAAAGGGGTAAAAACAAACTTGCTTTGTGAAATGTGAAGCATGTCGAAGAAGACGTTCAGTGTGCAGAGAGGTTCACTGAGAATCAATTGTTAAAAAGAAAGAAAAGCAAATGAGCAACGTGCAGGCCTGAACCTCTCGAAAGACAATAGTTTACGTGGAAGAATAAAAAAAATAAAAGCATGGTTTGCTTTCCGACTCAATCAACAAAGCTGAGCTTAGGTAACCCATAGCAACCAAATGTCAGTCATTTGAACTCAGATTGCTAAAACAAAAATTCTGATTGGTTGCTAGGGGCAAGTTTGCCTTACTGACGTCCCTTCCTAGTGTCCATAATTGGCTGGGTGGAAATAACTCACCTTGGCCTATGTTGGTGCCATCTATCGATAACCACATATCAGTGACATTAGTAATACCTAGGAATTATAAGAAGGATGAACACACCTCATGCAGATCACAATCCAGCTTTATGTCTCTCTTTCGGGATGTTTTACCTTTGGGGCTGCTGTATAAAGGATGGAGCCGAGGAAATTCTCCAGCTAGGGACAGTGATGCTGTGTGCATGAAGCCATTTCACATCAGCCCCTTCATGTTCTCCCCCTTGCTATATTTCTGCAATGTCTGATGGAGTAGATCTGTGTAAACATCAAACATTCAGGAGTTTTCCATATGACTGCTAACATTCCAGGCAGCATTCATGACTAGCCAAATGATTGCCTCACTAGCTGTGACATCAGCTTATTGCAGGAAGTAGAGGCCGCAGTGATGTCATTGTTCACATGTGACATGAATGGCAGTATTTATACTCACCAATGACCGCACCCACAAAATGGCAGCTTCCATGTGTGCAGACCACAGGTCCACATTTAAAGTAAGCTTATACTAATGCGGGTCTGACTAGGCTTCCCTGGTGTGCCTGGAGCAGTCTCTGGACCAGATGTGAGATAGCGCAGTGACCCTGTGATGGTGAACTCACACAAATCCTATCCCAATTGGCTTAAAGGAATGGTGTGCAAAGATTGCGTTTAGATTTTTCTTGAACGTCTGAGCAGCATTGCACAGGAAGGGGCACTCATAATGCAATGGAGGTATCTCATCGCCCCATTTTATACATAAACACCTACCACATCAGAGGACAAGCAAAAAAAACAGGGGGCGTTGCCTCTGAAACACATAAACCCGTGGAATACTTGGGGGCAGAAGACTGGTTACATCAATACTCCAGCTCGTCTTCTACCCATCCTTGTTGCATGCCTGTGTTCTACAGTTGTTTGTAAGTAGAGCCCTAGCTGTGTGCCTTCTTTTTATGAAATACTGTTTTACACTATGGAGGCCCTTTTATTTATATATACACACATATATATACATACACCTACCACATCACTATATTCTTTAAGCTGAACTGCAGCCAGATTTTCACACTGGATCACTGCACCGATCTGGCAGAATGACACAAAGCTCACCGACATGTAAGAATACACGTGGCTCTTGTATTGAGACGTTATTTGCTTATCCCAGAATTTCCACTTTTTCATTTGTCCTCTCACTTCTATGACCGCTCTTCCTGTACATACGCCCCTCTGTATACCAAAAAATACCCGCTGGTGAAGGTCACATAGGAAATCCAATATTCAATCCGCTCTAACCCAAGGTTTTCTTTATAATGATGGCATATAAAATTCAAGTGTAGACATCTGTTCTGCCACATTACTGGGAACCTAGTTTGTTGTTTCCCATAGCAACCAATCACAAATAGCTGGGACTCCATTGAAAGATGTTACCAATGGCAGCTGATCATTGTACTTTACTGTGGAAATTTGGACATTTTGCTCCCAGAACCGTCAGTATGTAGGCATTTGTTTTATGGGAAGAGGTCACTGAACTGTCCAATGATTTTGGGCTGACAGTGAACCAGCCAGTCATCATACAAATGGGTAGAGATGGGTTCAGCCAAAGTTCTTTTCCCTGAATATAGTAGGTATCTCTCTCATAGCTTTTGGTTTGCAAGTTATAAATATAAAATGTGCCAAGGATGTGCTGGAGCTTTATACAGAGAAATATATTCATTATTTATAATATATACATAGCATCTGTAATATATGTAATAAACTTGCCAGAGGCACTTGAGCTTTTGTTATATTATAGGGGAGATATCATGTTTATTTTCTATGCAATCTTGGTGAACATTTTATCAATTGTCTATCTTCTGTAAAAGAAAATAAAAGCAACCTGTAATAAATACCATGACCGGGACTTTATTAACCTGTAAATTATTTCCAACTAACCCGAGGGGGAAAAGTTTAAAGCATTGTTAAAGAAAACTCTGGGGGCAGGGAATCAACCCTTGCAGTGGGTGCTCACTGATCCTCAGGCTGGTGGCAGTCACCCAGAGGAGAAGGTTGCAGGGACTGGTCTAGCAGTGTGAGGATATGGTAAATGTATCCGCTTTAGTGGAGTCCCCAAGACAAAACAAGCAGTTAACCCTTGCAGTGCAGGGTAGCCACACTGCAAGGCTAAGTTTTTGCTTTTCTTTGAATTCTTACACGAGTCTGAAGACAATCACAGGTCATCATTCACAGATTACAGTTAACTATATAAATCAGACAAGACTCAAGCCTGCTCTTACCTGAGCTGGATGAGAAAGGGCAGCAATGCATGTAGCACTTCATTCCTTACCATTACTCCCCTATGTGTGAAGTAGCAATGCCACTTTCTGCATGAGTCAAGGCAATTCAAGGACAAGTAGGCAGGCAATTTATTTTTTTGTATAATCTTTACTTTCAGTTTTCAAAATGTTGTTCACAAAGGCACAAATAGAGGACAAACGGGCCAGAGTGTGTAGGTCATGGTATGTTAGACACATAGTGTAACCACACCACCCACTTAGCGTAGAAGCGGTCAGATCTACCTCGGCACTTCACAACCCATTCCTCCGCCTCCTGAATAACATACTTGTGAGATCCACTCTGACCTATCTGGTACCTTGGGTTGTTTCCAGTATCAGGGAAGGCGTCTCCTGGCTGCATCTAAAAGATGGGGCAGGACCCTCCTATAATAACCAATAGTGGTTGAGGGGAGGTGGAACAACAGATAAATGGGGTTGTCAGGCA